TTGTGTTATTCCATTAAAATGCTTTCATGATTCCCATTACTACTATTATTATTTTGGTGTTTTGAGACAAGGTCTCACTATGAAATCTAGCCTGGCCTCTAACTTTCCATCCTCCTGCTTCAGTCTCTCAAGTGCTGGGATGCCAGGCATTGCCATGACACCTGCCATGTTTTAGTTTATTAAAAGTGAATAATGGATATTAAAATCAGTCATTAGAATTAATCATGTACTTCACGTTTCATTCAGTAGTATTTTCATTAATCTCTTCTGGGTTTTAGTATTTAAAACAGTAGTAAAAAGAGGGTAAAAGCCTTATTTAAAATATGGAACACTAGGCTGGAGATATAGCTCAGCGCTACAGCGCTTGCCTGGCAAGTGCAAGGTCATGAGTTTGATTTTGATTCCCGGTCCTCCCCCACAAAAAAAAGAAACACTAGGAACTAGGAAACTGGACATTTTCGTTTATTTTTCTCACCTTATTAATAATATTTATTTATCTTCCCTCTGTCAAACCCTGAGCCAGTCACTTTCCCCAGGCAGCTCAGAAAAGTCCATGAGAAGGAACATACAGGGCAGACAAGACGTGGGAGAAAGAACTATGTGAGGTGGAGACAGTTCCGTCACATGGCGATGAAGATAAAAGCCACCATTAGGCAGAAGATGGCCAGTCATGCTGGTGCACGCCTGTAATCCCAGGACTCAGGAGGCCGAGGCAGGACTGCCATGAATTTAAGCCCTGTCTGAACTACTTAGTGAGACCCTGTCTCAAAAAAAAAGGTTGCAACCAGAAGAGGCCCATGGCCTCTGGAAGGGCAAAGCTCAGAATGGCATAGAAGAGCTGCTGCTTCAGAGAAGGGTTTCTGGCCATAACCAGTGATGAGGCTCCCAAACAGTCCCACCACCAGCCCAAGCCAAGCCGTACCAAATATGGCAGCCCCGGCCCCAGTGAACTTGGTTGCTGTGTCAGTGTTCCTTGAAATGATGCTGGTCTGGAAGCTCAGTTAGGGACAAGTCAGGTCAGGGGATGAAGGAGTGCACAGCTGCCGAGGTTCTGCCCCGCTGGTGTCTTTGGTCTGTTCAGCACTACTGCACATTGTGGTGGGCTCAGCACCTGGGTGGCGCTCCTGACCAAGGATGGGGTGGAGACAAATCTGAAGGAGGTGTACATTTTCAGGGGTGAGGGACACTGGCAGGAGAACTGCTCCCAGAGCAGAGAAGATGGGGAGGGTGGGTGTTTTTTTTTTTTTTTTTTTGGTACTGGGAATCGAACTCAGGACCTTGTGCTTGCCAGGCACGCACTTGTGCCACTGAGCTATATCCCCAGCCATGAAGGGACATTTTGATTAAGCTGATTTAACTAGATATACATTTTCTGAGTTTGAGCTGTCTTCAAGTAGTCGGACGGGCTGGGGATATAGCTCAGCAGCACAAGCACCTGCCTGGCAAATGCAAGGTCCTGAGTTAGATTCCCGGTCCTTCCTCAGGGAAAAAAAAAAAAAAAAAAAAGGAGTCACACTAAGTACTATGTAAGATAAAAAAGAACAAGATATTGTTGTCTTAAAATACTTTTATTTATTTATTTTTTTGGTGGTACTGAGAATTAATCCAGGGCCTCTTCAGTGAGCATCAGCCCTAACCCTTTTAATATATATATATATTTTTTGCTGGGTGCAGTGGTGCCTACTTGTCATCCCAGCACTCATGAAGAGGCTGAGGCAGGAGGATCACTGCAAGATTGAGGTCAGCCTGGGCTATATGGCGAGTTAAAGGGCAGCCTGAACAAAGTGAGACCCTGTTTCCATAAACAAAACAAAACAAAAGAGTATTTTGAGAAAGAGTCTCATTAAATTGCCCAGGCTAGCCTCAAAATTTTGATCCTCTTGCCTCAGGCTCTCACAGTGCTGGGATTACAGATGTGAGCCACCAACACCTGGCTAGAA